GAAAATCGCAAAACTCTCATGTTTTAAGTGCTATATATTATTTACCAAAAATAAGACCTGATTTGTGCATGAATTAMCATAGTGAAATATGGATGGTMTGWGACCCTTTTATGTGACTGTGTTTTCTGTGGGGCATTCGAATAATCTAAATAATTAGAAAGGCAGATTTAATGATGCCAAGATAAAATTGTCTGGGGTTGACAGCCATGTACATGCATGGAGTATGTAATTAAGTATATGTTGATTAAGTATTATTATGTTAATTAAGTATCATATGTTTACGATCCAGTGTTGTGAAATCTCTTTTTAAAGAGACRCCATTTTATTCACAATGAAAATGCCGTACTTTTTAATTGACATGACTGACACATTATTTCTCTAACAYAGATWTTAACGAATGCMTGWACTCAAACATRTTCTGTGATGCCCATGCTAMATGCACCAATTATTAYGGTAGTTACACATGCAAMTGCAATGCTGGTTACCATGGAAATGGCAGGAGTTGTAAAAAAAGCGGTAAGCATTCAAAAATTTTAATCAAGTTGTTTTAATAAAAAAATGTGYCTTTYRTTKAAWTMGAATTTATTTGAAATATAAAAGGAAGCACTTACGGTAGATAAATAACACTCAATTTTTCATTAYATTTCAGCTTCCAGTACCATCAAGTTGTCACCATGGTTACTCATCGTAGCCTTTGTGTKGTTATGCTTCATTACTTGATGTTTTTAAAACATAACTTTTCTCATCGAAAAAGAATATGTGTGATTATTTATTATTTTTCAYATACCGTTAACAATTTTGAAAGGTATAGCATGCATGATACGCTTTCCTCAAAGGGGAATTCAATTGAAGACAGTAGTTTATTTAAACTTTGAGGTGTAAAGAAATTGAGCTAATTTAATTTAGGTTGTAAAGTATCCAGCATTCTGATTTAGCTTCTGAACTATTAAATTGTATTTATGTGATATCATAGTTGCTCAAAGTGATGTGAAAATAGMCGAGTTTTGAAAAATGTTGTGGAAAAGTCAGCTGTATTTTTTTCTTTTTTTTTTTTGTAAATAATTTCAAAATAATTGTAAATATTATTATATAGAAATAGTGTCACTTAATGATAACGTATTAGATGATAGATGTAAGTTATAATTTAAGGCTCGTGCATCCAAGATCCTTTGCGAGATTTTCTCAGATTGAATTTGAACCAATTCAAAAGCATTTTGTAAAACAAAAGAAACAATCGCAAAGAATTTTGGRTGCATGTGGACCTTTAATTGATAATATATAGTCCTTCTTTCAATTGGTAACTTATTGTTACTGTAATTCTTGCTCACTTTGGAATGTTTTTTGGTAACTATGTTATTGTTCTCACTGCCTCTGTTGAATGTGGTGCAGATGTTATAAGGTAGAGTTTATTTAGATTATTCTGAAATTTGTTTGCTAATGTGGCAAAGTATAAGTTTTATTATCATATAGCTTGGATGTAACACACGATTTCATTGGCTAAAAAGCGGGCCATACTTTCCCGAATGGAAAAGTATTGCTTGCTCAAACCGTACGGGAAGTTATGGAACCTCGTTTTTTTCCACTTTTCATGGCTCTCGCGCTACGCGCTCTGCAATCATAAGTCAGTGGAAAAAAAACTCGGTCCATATATTAACTTCCCGTACGGCCCTCATGCTCGGTTAATAAGATATTAGTATCCTTGTTTACAATGTAGCTAACTTGGACACAYTGCAGTGTCAGCTTAAATAGTATAAGAGAAAATTAACAGCAGCCAAGTGACAACTGACATTTACTGCACAAAAAAAAACAAAAAGGAAAATAATTACAAAAGCAACAAGAAAGGACAATTAACTAAGTGACACTTTTAGATATTTTAATTGTCATATTACTTACATGTAAACTAATAATAAACTTTTTCTATTTTGCAATGTGTTTTTTAATTGTCTCTAGAATGAAAATCATTTGAATTATATCAACTAGGTATAACTTCAGAGTTTAAAGTAGCTGTGTCTGAACTTCCAACTTAACTGTCTAATGAAAATACAAGGTGTTTAAACATCATTAATTACTCCTCGGTCATGATCCTCTGAGGCAAATCCTCCATCAAATTTGGGGTTATTCTCTGTAACTCATTCCTGTCTTATAGCGATGAACAAGCAAAAAAAGATTATGCCATCAGTTTCCAAATTATGCTTCTGTTATTATCATTTTGAGTTGTCAACCATGATTTTCCACACTCGAATACCATTTGATAAAATTTTTTTCAATAAATACTATAAACTTACATATAAAAATATCCTTGACAGAGGTATGGAAAGAATGAAGCCTGGGGTTGGTTTTAGAATACTCTCAAAAAGGGGAAGGTCACRACATTATTTATCAATATTAATCGCAAGAGTGCCAGCCATCACTATATCCATGAAATAGAAGTTATAAATAGCTGCAGAAGATGTTGTTTTCAACAATTGAATTGTCAAAGTGGCAGGAATTGTGACTGCATGAATATATGTATAATTATAATACGCTCCACGTCTGTAAGTTTAAACAAACTTTTGGCTTAAATTATGGATTTAGTGTTTGAGCCCCTATACTCAGMAGTAGTGGGGACAGTAAGAATTTGTCACTCCTCAAAGGGGTGGGAGTGGGGGTGTTAGTGGTAGCACATAGCCAGATGACACAATTTTTCCTATGGTTTCTACTTGAAAGCCAATATCATGGAGGTGATGGTGGTCAAGAATCATTCTYCCATCAAAGACAAATGCAGGCTTTAGCATGGAGTTGTAGATTCGATGATAGTCATATGTCTRTAAAAGACGAAGTAGTTTAAAATCAGATTACACTTGTTTTTTAAGTTATATACCATTCACCATAAAACATTCTTGAAATCATCATATCATTTTACGCTTGAAGGGGGATTGGTTGATTGACTGATTGACAGATGGAATGAATGACTGATTGATTTAATTGACGACCTGACTTAAATACTGATGGCTAACTGCTTCAGTGACAGGCTGACTGACTGATTCATTGATTTGATTGACTGGCTGAATAATGGCTGACTGATGGCCGACTGACTGAATGATAGGTTGCCTGAATGATTGACTGATTCATTGATTTGATTGACTGTCTGAATGGCTGACTGAATGATAGGTTGACTGAATGATTCATTGACTTGATTGACTGACTGAGTGATAGGTTGACTGAATGACTGAATGATTCATTGATTTGATTGACTGGCTGAATGGCTGACTGATGTCTGGCTGACTGAGTGACAGATTGACTGAATAATTAACTGATTCATTGACTTGATTGACTGACTGACTGATTRATTGACATATTGTTAAGTGARTAAGTGAAGTATAAATTATATTCACCTTAAATTCATCCCACTCTGTACATACAACAAAGGCATGTGCGTTCTCTACAGCTTTGTAAGGATCTTTCTCAATGGAAACAAGCTTTCGGACTGAAGAGATGCAATTTCAATTATCATTTTCATCATCATCATCGTTATTATCATCATAATCACCATCATTACTATCATMATCATAATCATTATCATCAACATCATCATCATCATTGTTGTGGTGGTTGTCCTCATCATCATAATTACCATTTTTATCATTAATATCATCATTATCATCATAATCATTATGAACATAATTAAAGAGCAATCACTTGGACTTTTACCTCTACTGGGATCTTCAGATATTGAGCTGTCTTCTAACTCACTGTGAACATACAATTTCAAAGCAATGATAATGAGAAATTACGCTCAAAAATTGGAATTATAAGCATCTATGACACGGGAATCCCAAACTTACAGCATTATTTGTGACTCTTCAACTTTGGGGTCATATATACTGATCATTGCACCTTCATCCATGAGATACTTGCAGATGTAGATACTTGCCGACTCTCTACAAGTCACAAATGCATTATATGAACGTTTAACACACAGACAAGTTTTAACCCCCCTCTCCCCTCCCCTCCCCTCCACCATTTATAATAATAATAATAATAATAATAATGCTTGTTTAATTCAACCGATTGCAGTTTTACAACTGAATTGCCGGAGGGGCCAGCTATTTACAATATAAATATTAATCAATCAGTAATCTTCGAAAAGTTTCCTGCATATTTCGCACCATTTTCCTGCACCATTTCCAAATGGGAGGAGGCAGAGAGCTTTATATACATTTGTATCCCCCCCTCCTTTACCTCCCAAAACTCAGGGGGAGTCATTTTTGTATTCTAAATTATTATACAGTAGCACAATGATTAGGAGCACCCATCTACTCCTAAGGGCTCTACCACCATAGTTAACGCCTTTTTCTCCATCAAGAGGATGCATGTCAAAGTAAACAACATGTAGCCCTCTCCCCAGTGATATATTATAGCAAGAGTTCAAGTCTTTAAATTATTTCTCTAATTCCATAAGGGCTATCATTGTTTACTTCCTCAGAGTTTTACCCAGCAATCAACCTTCCCCCCTCCCCCAGAGGTCTCTCCAAAATATATACTGTCMCTCCCACTCAGGGMCATTTATTRACCCAGTTTCTTACCGAGTATCACCAGTATTTTTCTTGAAAGCAAATCCCATTATASCAATCTTCTTGCCTGATACTGTATTAAACAGACAGTTTATAATTCTGTTGGTGAAACGTCGTCTCTGATATTCATTCATCGCTATCACTTGGTACCAGTAGTTAGCAACTTCAGGGAGATTGAGAGCCTCRCAGAGGTAGACAAGGTTTAAGACGTCTTTCTGAAAACARCTGCCACCAAAACCTTGAAAATGAATGAGAGAAGTGAATGAATAAAGGATGGATAAATGGGATTTGGGAAAAAATGAAAAAATGGATGAATGGGATTTGAAAAAATGGATGGATGAATGAACGAACGGGATTTGAAAAAATGGATGGATGGATGGATGAATAAATGGTATTTGAAAAGAAATGATAAGCAAGTAGACAAATGAAAGACTAAATAAAAATAGAAATAGATGAACAAATGGATGGTTGAATAAGTGAAAGAATGGGTTAATGCAATGAGTGAACATGAATGAAAAAATAATTGGATAAGTAAGTATATAAATTAGACTAAATGAATATCTTTGAATCAAACGGGATAATTGAATGAATGAAAGGTGAAATGAAGAAATGGGAAATTATGCATACCGACAGAAGCCTGGAGAAACTTGTTTCCTATCCTGGAGTCCATCCCAATTGCATGAGCAACCTCAGACACATCAGCACCAGTTGCCTCGCAGATTGCGCTCATTGAATTAATGCTGGAAATACGCTGGGCAAGGAATGCATTTGCAGCCTACAAAAAAAATATAGGTAAAAAAATGTAGGTTTATTTAGAGTAGACTTCACATGATTATGCAATGAAAATTAAGTCATTTGCCATTTAAGTCATTGTGCCAGCCCAATGTCGTATGGCACCAGCGTCAAATAAACAAATATTATGTGTGTTGATAATCTTTCTGTCAATATCAGTGTGCCTGGCTGTCAGTTTTGATGTTTCTGTCGATGTTATCCATTTTTCTTACCAGTTTTGACAGTTCGGATGACCATGTGTTTGTCTTGATAATCCTTTCTTTAGGAATCCAGTGTTCATAGACCCAACCAAGTGCTTCAATAGCACGTAGACCATCCTTYGTCTGCTCTCCTCCTGTGAACAAACACATTTTATTAAAGCTTAACAGGGAACTCTGGTTTTGCATTATGAAAGAGTCACTCTACAATCTCCAGCTAAAAAATGAGACATCTACAATTGTCAGGTCCTATACCCTCTACCCCTTGGCAAGATTGTTTGCAAAAGGCAGAAAGACATGATCTCCTCACAATACGTGAAGACATCATCCTAACAACACTGAACCTGGGGGGAAGGGATCGCAAGGGGCCCCGTTTATATTGCAGAAGATTGTAGTTTGCATATTGCATGTAAAAAATTGTGTCTGGAGTTAAATCCTGACCCACAGAAGTCAAAACTGCTAGCTTCTCTGACGCCTCTCATCTCTCAATATATGAACTCTCTCTTGGTCATTCAGGAACGTACATTATATACAGGATGCCTCACCTACAAGAACTCTGTCTGGTTCCATCAAGTCTTTGATTGCAGTACCTTCTGCTAAGAACTCTGGGTTTGATAAAACCTAATAAAAATAATATAGCAACCAGAATAAAACAGACGTCCCTAACAAACAGAAAACATAAAGAAAAAAATGAAAAGAGGAGAAATAGTGTGAGATAATGTCTGTTAGTGAGTGGACATTTTAAGTAATTTCACTTTATTTCCAGAAATGTAATGTCAGTTGAAGTCCTATGAGGAACTAMAAAAGTTGTGAGTACTGAGGTAAATGTTCATTTTTTCCCTTTTGGGATCCCTGTGGTATCCCCTTGGCCAAGCAGGTCACACTCTCCCTTGGTCATATTTGAGGAAGACAGGAAATTAAAGAGTAGAAAGAGAAACAGAAAGGAAGACAGCTGCTGAGGAGGYTACTTACAAGAGCAATTGTAAATTTGATCAACTGTTAATTCTCATACCTGGAATTTTTTATCAGCATTTGCACTTAGAATTCTTGTAATACTGAAATCACAAGTAACACAATATCGCTTATTCAAAAAATAGATTTTTAAAACTTCTTTTTTGCCCGATTCCCATAGCAATCCTGAAAGGTTACGGCACCTTAAATTACTGATTGACAAAGACAATGGTAAAAGGCTATCACAAATTCGTTCTATCTGCATTTTAGTAACTTGTAAATTTCTCTGTGTACCTTTCGGCAGCTCTTACTGGAACTGTACTCTTTTCGACAATGATTTTACCACCGTCTGCCACTCTTGCAATGTGTCTTGCTGCGGACTCTATATATTTTAAATCTGGTGCTCTTCCCTGAAAATTATAAATTATAAATATAAAAATAATTATAGAATATAATTGCTACTTCCTCATACGATTAATTATAAAATTATAAATTTATTCAACATCAAATACATTTAAGACTGTTTATAATAGCCCCTGACAACGAAAGTGATTAGTGAAAGGCTATTTGTAGTCAAGGAAATTAATGAGTCATAATTCACACTCTGATATCACCTAGTAATTTCATATCTATTAGTATTTTACACTCATTGAAAACTATTCAAATTAGATATCAATAAAGTTTAACTAACAGCGGGTCATATATAAAATTGATTTTGAAAAACTCCAACTCCATAAAAATAGATTTTGATTTCTGTTAGTCAAAGTGRCATTCTTCTACCTTTAAAAAAAATGTATTTTACTACAGTTTATATATTTTACGTTACTTCGACACAATCGAGCGCTCACACACAAAGATCAGCTGATTACATATTGGATTGAGTTGGCGGGGAAAACACGTCATTATATTTGTTTCGGGTTTCAATACGGTCTTTACGAAGCCTACGCTAAATAAATACATTCAACAAATGAGTTTTACTCTATAAGAGTCGTTCGGTTTTAGAAAAAGACAGCAGGGTAGAGAAAATAAAATAAAAGATCAGTCGATCGTCTAAGGTTAACTGTCTTTGCTTGTACCCGCTGYCTTCGATGTTATCTATATTTAATCATCCCAGCTAAAAAAAAATGTTTTATTTGAAATATATAGAATGCAATTTGCTTTGAATATAAATAGGCTTAACAGAGTTCCCTAACGAATAATGCTTGGGGATCTAGAAAGCTTTAGATTGAATTAACTCGGTACTTCGCTTAAAATAATATTCGCATTTTAAAGGTTAAATTTTATATATGAACTTTACCTTCCCGACGCCATAAGTTTTCGTTGGAGTATTGACCTAGGAAAAGTCAAAATGAAAAAGATAATAATAATAAATCCTAGGCGACAGAACAATGCCAAAGGAATTTGAATACATTTTTGCAAGTTTKAAAGTTTTACAAAGCCGGGACATCTTACACATATGAAGATCAAATCTGCTTTTTTGATGGCCGCATCGATGTCTGTCGTAAACCAAAGATTTCTCCCTCGACACTGCTTTACAACGTCGTCTAACCCAGGCTAAAACATAMAGTTGGTTAATATTCAAGACCCAATCAAAGCAAACAAGCTAAACTTACTTCAAATATAGGCAAATTCTCTGAGTTCCAGGCATCGATTCGTTGTTGGCTCAGATCCACGACRTGGACTTGAATGTCAGGGCATTTTAGGGCTATAACGCTACACGAGGGCCCTCCGACATACCCTGCTCCGAGACAGCAAATATTTTTTACGGTGATCATCGGGAGAGTGAATCAAAGTCTAACGCTGCCTCTCTAGCTGTGTGTGTTTTGCGAGAGAACGTAGCGCACGCGTGTTGAAGGACTTTGAGGGGTATTCCTTGGGCTTGGCGCTGATTGGTTAGTTCCAGATGTTCCACAGGAAGCCCAATTTAAAAAAATAGTTTTGAAAAGTAAAAAAAAAACTTTTTGCGCGGAGTCTTTGAAGCAGATTTTTTTCCTTTGTCGTTTTAATTTACTCAGTTATTCTACTCACAAAGGCTTCTAGATATGCAATACGTGGAGAAGAGTCAGTAAAGGAGCTCCTCGTCCTAAATGCATGGAAAATATTTTTTGAAAGTGCTCAAGTTGTGACACTGTCAATGGATTACATGCGCGAGTAAACTTGAAAACACTAGGCTAGTGTTTTCAAGTTTATGACTCCAAGTTGGTGCGACATAAATCAGATCGTAAACGTAAACAGATCTAGAATATTCCAAAGTGTGTCAAAAGCACCACAAAATGATTTACCTCGAAGGTTATACTTTCAAAGTCCGCGCGTTAGAGGTGAGACTGTTACTGCGCATGTCATCCATTGACAGTGTCCCTTTAAAAGGGCTAATCTTATCAATTTGAAAAGAAAGCACCAAACTTGTGTGACAATATCGGTATTATTGAAGATCTGCAAATTCTTTTTTTCAACTYGAGATCGATATTGATCAATTCGAAGGGTCATGGCCAATGCGTTCATATTTTAGAAGATTTTCATAATTCATATATATGGAAAAAAGGTGTCTTCAAATAACCWTTCGATTCCTGTCGTAATCCGTTTTTATCGGTCGGTTTTAAGGTCGAATCTRACAATATCTCCATTCTTAGAGTATAAAGCAATGAACGAAGCAAGTTTTGACTGACATTAACGATGTATTTTTATTTATCATAATCCACAGCTTGCAAGGATACACTAGTCAAACTATCAGCCACACGTAAAGGGAAATTATTAATCTCTTTTAGATATCACTGCTGTTTTCTATGTTTATATTTATATCTACGTTAAGAAAATTSATTGCAAATAGTATAGTTCTTTATGACCAAAATTGTAAATTAGAGTTATGATTTTTATTTTATTTGTAATTGTTTATCAATGAGAAATAAAGATCATTCTTATTAAAATTAAAAAAAAACTTATTAAAATAAAATTAATCCGTTAATTAACAACTATCTTTGTACAACGGGTTTCATCACTTCTTGCGCGCTGTCTATTTTTCTTCAGCCCCGTTATCGATGAAAGACGTCCAATGACTACCATGTTATTTCAGTTGTCAAGTTGTGCGAGAAGTGTATAAACTTGCAAATTTTGCGAGGTATTTATTCCGGATTTTCCTTGTTTAACAGTTATTGCATATTAGTKTTTTCCTGTTTATKAAGTGACATTTAATAATAGAGAAAATTCAAGGAAATTGTTTTTGTATATCGCCATGAAAGTAATTTGTCACAGAAATATCTTTCGCCCTCTCTTTCCATAAAACATTAYTTCGAGACCTCGGAATACCGCGCAAATTTATAATAGTTCTTTTTTATATCTATTTTATGTTTTTATATTTACAAATGTAGTTTTCGAGATAAAATATGGCGATRATAATGAGMATAATTTGGGATCCGTAAGAAAATTTAATKATWTGAGCTTACGCCTGTTTGGGAGCCAGGACGAATCCCATATAGCTAAAAGTTATAAACATCATGAATTTTCAGCCAGTTTGGTAAATATTTATAATACTTGATATTATACGTATCATAATTCCTTGTATAAATTGCTGTGTGCCTTTTTTATTATGTTATTAAATCTWTTTTGAAGGTATTCAAGTATTTTGTGAAAAAATGTCTCATCGCTGAGCACAAATGTCAAATTAGATTGAAGTGGAATTTCAGACGAGGTAAGTCAAAAACTTTCAACGATAAAAATGAAATAACTAAAAGAAAAGACCAAAATTTTAAAATGATAGAACTGTTTTAAGTAGAAATTTACAAATTATGGTATTAATTTATTAAGTATTGCGAGGAAAGCTTCGCTCCCWGGTAGATATAATAGCAATGTTTCATTTTAATTGCACGAGGTGATTCCGTGATAAACAGTTTCTTTTGCTCCTTTATGTAAACATATTTATCTTTTTTCAATGCCTTGGGGCAATAAATGGGATCAAATCTATATTATACATCAACATTKTCTGTTAATTAGTATTTCTAGAAGGCAATGGTTCAAGCTTCTAGTAAATAATAGAGTAAAACAAGGAAATATCTTTGTTTCAGTTCCTTTGCGCGATATTGCATGTACAACCGGTGGGGTCTTTTATTCTTGACACGAGCTAGGAGTTTATAATCATTATTTTGATACTGTGAAGATGTCCGCCGCTTTTGATGTTGTATTCCAAATGTTCTTGATAAAAAGGTCATTTGGTTGACAATTCCTATCGAAAGGCAACATGCAAAATAATACCTATAAAGGTAATTTTAAATGTAAACTACCCTAGTATAATCAAAAACCTCAAGCATTGAGTCTATAAAAATTGTCGTTTAAAAAAAGAAGTTRACTGATACTTGAACGGATGATAAAGTTATAAAGTTTATCTCAAAATCTTAAGTTTCTGATGTAAAAATACTGAAAAAATACTTGGGCAATATTGGTATTAATTATGCAATATTTTCTTGACTTGCCGCAGATTGAATGAAGTCTCTAGTCTATATCAAAGCACTGGGAGAAAGCTGAAAAGAATTGAAATTCGTAAAAAGGTACGTGTCAAGTCTTAACTGCGCACTCTTTTGCTGGTTTTCCGACTATCAATTTTGTATGACACGATCTTTTTATGGGCCATTGCAATCCAACTTCAACTCGTTCGTTTTTGAAAAAAAACATACTCCTTACAGAATAGACGAGATTTTTGTCTTATAGAAAAAGAGTTCATTTTTAATGAAAATTTAATTAAAATAATCATTCGGCGGGTTTTTTAATTTTCGCTGAGGAAAATATTGTTGTTGAGAATTCATATACTTCTAACTGAATTATTATCAAATTCATTTGCTTTTCTWAAGATAATAAATATTTTTCTGAAAACATAAGCAACAATGTAAACAAAAGTTCAACGTCGCAAGGAAGTGGATACAACATTTTTAAAGATTTGAAAAGCTTTCTTATTTTAAAAACACGTAGAAAAACAAAGAGAAGCTCAAAGCAATCCACATTCAAACTAGCAGTAAACTAGTGTGAGTTGCGTCGGTGTTTCTAAAGAAACAGTTGTGTAAAAAGATAAATTGTAWCACTATATACTGAGAAAGTAGGTGACTCCAACTTACAGACGTTTCGGACGTTAATCTTCGTCGGATAAAGAAGTACGAAGGATAAACGTCCAAAACTTTAGTAAGTTGTTTCACCTACCTTTTTTACGGCGTTATGATTTGCATTTTGTACAAATTAAACTTTGACCGCCACTTTTTCTCATATGGCGATTAAGATTTGACAGGTGTGTATCAAAAAACATCAATAACAAATTTGGAAATTGGAATTAAGGATTAATATGTTTTTTGTTAGTATATTCCACACATATCACGACTAATGAAGATTTTAATTTTTGAGTATATATATGTGTGTTTTTTTTTAATTTGACAATATGGCAGATGCTAATCCGAASCTTTMRACTTTTTGACAACTTTGATAAARGCAAATACAGCTTTGTCTTTGAAGTCAAAGTTTGAATGCTTTGCTGATTTTGTTTCGTTTATTTTTCTTCTAAAACATCAGATGCTATAGTAAATATTTCACTTTAGATCAAGATTAGATCAAGTCATTTTGAATTGACGTATATGTTTTCAAGTTATGGACTGATATGGACTGATATCCATGTAGTACTAGCGAATCAGAACACGAGTTTGCGCTTATTGATTGGCTTCTTGTCCTGGAACATGCAGTCATCTATATTCAATCATTTATTCGTTCGTTTGCTCATTCATTCACTTATCCATTTGCTCATCTCATATCCATTCATTTAGTTTCTCTCGTTCGTTTTTTTTTTTAATATCCCTTCAACTTGCACGTTCGTCTATTAAGTAGACCTGATTCACAAGGAGCCAATTGGTAACCTTAACGATTAAACGTTCTAGAACTGTCGTGATCCATGTCATGCATTGTAGGAGGCCAAAAGTCAACGACCAATACAAATGGAAGCTTAGGCAGACAGAGTATAGATATAAATATATATGCTATATGAGATCGCATGATATAAGGGCACACTATAATGTCACTCAGGATTACGTGACATTACGTGTCTTCAACAACGATGAGAAGAAATCCAAATAGATAGAATGGAAGAGAATAGAAAAGAAGAAGAAAGGGAGAAAGAAAAGTGATCAGAAGAAAAGGATCGATTCCAGTATGTAATTTTAATGATGTACTTTCACTTATGAAGCAAAAGATAGTGCTTTAGGGCAAAAACAAAAACCGTCAAAATATCCGTCAACACTACTTGCGTTCTCTTACGTATTCAAATATAATTTTACAATCGTAAAGAAGCACTAACGAATACGAATAAAAAACGTAATATACGAACACACTGTAAGTTTCGGACACTGGAAAAAATCGCGCGCTGTAAAGGTTGTAAATTTGATGTATATATGATGTAAGTGTCCAAAATTCTGTAAATTTAATGGAAATCATTTACATCAAATTTACAGAATTTTGGACACTTACATCATATTTACATCAAATTTACAACCTTTAAAGCGCGCGATTTTTTTTGCGAAGTTGCCTTTCTTCGACGCACGTAGAATCATGACAGGATCAACCGATGGCAATGCTTCCTTGCGTAAGCAGAGCTTCCTTGCGTAAGCAGAGACTTAAGATGAAATACTTACGCAGAGGCATTTGCGCAACCGTAGCTACAATCATGACACGTTTTGTTTTAATGTGCATTTGAAGTGTTTTTTTTTTTCCTTTATCGTAAAATTTCCAGGCGAGAACTGAATTGCTTACATTCGTGCGCAGACTTACGTAAAACACGGTACGTCCTTGCGTTAGCAGAGACGTAAAATGGACCGAAGCACATAAAATACTCACGCAGAGGCATCGTGCGTATCCGTAGCAAAAGTAATGATACGTTTTGTTTTTACTGCGCATCTGAAGTGCAACTGACATGCGCAGATCACGGTASGTGGACCAGGTGCGCGCTGTACCAGTCTAACTCCGTTTCTTACTGTCTCTATATATATCTGTACACAAACAAACCTTGGCATTTGAATGGTTCGTTATCGAATCACAATAACAAAGAACGAATTAAACGATAAATTATCCCATATAAACATGATTTTTTGAGACACCAAAGAGATTTATCCGAGATTAACGATTACTTCTAGGACCTAATTGTTCAAAGAACCAGATCAGCAATAAACGTCGTCGATTGTTGCTATACCTCGTTCTCTTGTTTGTCTCTAATTTTGAGATTAATGCGACATAATATCGAGCAGGAACTTTCCAATTCCGCTTCATTCAAACTGGAAGGAAATTGGAAGTTTTGTTGATATTTTAGATCTAAAGATATGAATTTATCTGAATTTGAATTGCGCGGTCTGAATTATTTAGTGCCTCAAATGTTTAGTCGTCGGTGTTTGACTAAATCGACGTGAATGTTCAGTGTTTGTGGAGTTGTGATTATAATGAAATAACATTCACGTTTTATACTTCATACCCCATTTAACAATTGAATTCATCTATTCATTTATTTATTCTTTCATTCGTTTTCTCATCCATTTATCTGATATRTACACACTGCAGTRTTGATCGTTTTCAACCATTCAGTTGAAAAAAKATAAAAAACCGGCGGCCATGTTTGAGGAATGAACATTAGATACTTAAGAGAAATCCTTTGTTKAAGTCCCTCCAAGATGGCCGCTGTGTTAAAGCTTATAAAACTTCAACGAGACGTGTTTTAGTAAAAGTATAGTTAAGTGTTAATCTTATCATCAGTGAAATCTTGCTCCTAAATAATCGAATCAAACATGGCACTCGGATCAATACTGAAGTTATTTAACAAACAAGACTTCCAGTATCAATGACATAAGGACATGTTCATTTTCCGGCAGTTCGCTGTTTAATAAACTGCAGCATCTTGTCCTTGAAAGAAAAGCTTGTCAATGTTATCGCTTAATATTTCTTGTTTTGCAAACAATGRATGRATTGRCGCTGTTTATCTCTGGAAAGTAAGGATTGAAGAACACRAGCACATGAAGTGGAGCCATTTTGGCTTTTTGAGTGTTTTCAAAAAGTCCCAAGTGCTTTACATTTCTTCAACTTATAAGCCATAGTATAAGTCCACCATTGCGTCATGTTTGTAGAACCATAGTGTGTATWAACAAAATATAACAGGATTTTTGACCAATCAGATGTAGCGTTTAAAACGATATCAAAATAYCATGAATACACCCCAGTCATAGAAAATTAATGACATTCCGTTTYGATACTTATCTGCGTTTTGTGGTCATTTCAAGAAAATAAACTATCAAAATATGAAATATGACCCAAATATTGGTTTTCTCTAGGAATAACCTTAATAGATCTAGTTCAGAGAGAATTAGATCCGTTAATGCGTTGAATCTCTCATGTAGCGAAGTTAATAGAAACATATACATTGCTGAAGGCTTGAGTTTAGTTGAAGGGTTTGCTAAGGCCCTGAGGACGGTACCACTGGGYAGTAGAAYATTGAATAATGARTATTTCACAACAAAACAAAAATAACGAGGAATTGGGCAGCTTCTTTTAAGAAAATTAAAATTTTMAAAAGCAATGAAAATTTGAAGATAGTTTGCGCTGAAATCGGAACATGTCAGATGCGACGTATGAATTTCAACGCTTATTTTACATTCCATTTACAGCCTTTTGCAAAAATTAGAATTGTWGAATTGTTGCAAGAATTGTTGAAATATCTAAATATCATAATATCGAGTGCATGATGGGTAATCCCGCGCGATGCCCTTAGTCCCTTGTCTTTGTAGTTTAGTTTTTTTTTGGCGACAGACTTATCCGTAGTTCTGAACATTTTCTCGATGTCAGCAATGAATTATTCTAGCAAACCCGCGTGTTCCGGACAATATATGGATATAGATATTATGATATTTAGATATTTAGACAATTCTCATAATTTTTGCAAAAGGCTGTATTCACATGATATAAAGATATATAAAGACACTTGAACTCTTTTGGACAAGAGCATCCAGCCCCATCTCTTCCCCATGATTTCATGGACGAAAAGAAATCATTGATTMTAGACTTTATTTTGATAGTACGGAACTGAGTATTGCACTTAACGACCGTGCATACACCCATCTCTAATMCACATGAATATATGCCGCAGCTAAGATTACTACTTAATAAATTTAGATCTATTATCATTAAACGAGCCCCTTGAGCTTTCTAAGTATGAAAMATTACTTCATTTATGGTTGTTTATGCCGCTTAACAACGCCAGGTGGTGCTGTGGTTTTCTGATAAGATTCKTGAAAGGGCCTGGGGCAGTAATGTTGCTTTGTGGGTTTTTTAAATGTCCTTGAAGAGTACAAAACAGAACAAYTCGTACATTAAAAACATTGAAATCACGTAAGAAATACAAGGCTTCAAAGGTAGGTAACAAGCTGCTATTTTCGTCTGTGTTGGTAGATACAGTCTAAAACCATAGTTTATATCATAAAGCCATTTCTTTTCGAAACGTCTTTAATGCTCATGGAAGATCCGGAGTTAATATTTTAAGGTTATATATCGAAAATAGATAGTAAGAAACTRCGTTTTTAGAGACGATGGCGAGTTAACGAAGAGTTATAAGACATCAAATTCGGGGTTTTATCTAAAARTTTTTTTTGTTGTTRTTTATTGTGCTGCTTATCAATACGTTCATATCTCACTGCCTCCTAGCTTCTTATAATTCGTGCACTCATCTTTTCATCCATCCTTTCATTTATTCTCTTCCATTCATTCTGTATATTCTCGCTCATTGATAGTTCATTTTTGAAAATAAAAGCGCGACCAGATAACTGATTGCTGGACAGAAATTCAGTACGCAAGACTTCTTGTCATAATGGATTTTTCCTGAGATGACGTGAGATGTTCTTCACAAATGACGTCCATTAAGAGRTCATTTTCCCAGTTTGAAAAACAGCATTTTAAAGCGCGCAAAAAGGGGAAAAACGTTTGATTTTGATACACAAAATTCAGTGTTTTCTTTTTGATTTTCTTTGCAGCTTTATTTCCTTCAAAAAGACACAAAAGATTTCATTTCAAAGGTGTGATATTTGCTATGCGTTATTTTAAATCAGTTTCGAAGTGTGAACGCAAACTTTTAAAATTGAATAATGGAAAGTATACACAAAGCTGGCAGTTTTCTCTTTCATTAAAATGCGTTACTTAAACATGGCAGAAATCTGGATTATTGAATGTTTTAAAAGCTCTTTATTTATTTTTCTAGTTTATTCTTTTTGATGTGCGTTTACTATAAAAGGGAAAAATAAATCCAAACCTTTCAATGGTAGAATCTTGTAATAATATGACAAGAGAGGATATCATTAACTCGTATCTTCGTAGTGTCGAGCTTCAAAGTGTCAAAGTCGAACTTTCTATTCATTAAAAAAAACCTTGAAAAACAAGAGATTTTCGTGGATATAATTATTCAACATGAATCCACTCTAACGTCTTTGAATCAAAACATAATCAAAAAACAAACTGAAATGGATCGAAAATTAAAAGACTAAAAAGGGTTTTTATAACAATGTTTTTTATCGTCATAAAAAGATGCTTACGTAACTGGTTGCATATTTTTGTTTTTCATTAAACTGGCCCAAGGTTAAAAAGGTTTCTTTTAATATTTAAAAATGTTTTTTCTGCCTTCTGTAATGTTTCTCTTTCTATTATTTAAGACCAAAACATTGCGGAAATCATGACTCGAATTTCTAGAAAGTACTAAGGAATCAAAGTAGGTTTTTGTGTCATTTGTGTCATTATAAATGTGCTCAATGTAAAATGCGCAGTGTCTTGCTAATATATTGTCTTTTCCATTTGAGCAGGTACATTGATAAACAACTTTTGATGAACGAATATTTATGACTCTTTAAGTTCTTTAGATAAACAAACTTTTTATTATTCCTGGTTTCCATAACGCCAGAAAGATCTATCTTCATTATTACTTATAGCAGACAACGTCGTCAAGGCCACCTTATTGGTGATTTCACCTTAACTGATGTTTCTCTTGTCATTTCAGACCTGAACAAGATGATTTCCTTCGCAAACATCGCTATAACGTCTGCATTTTCAGTTGTAATATTAATTGGACTTGTTGGAAACAGTTTAGTGATATTAATTGTCGCAAGAAACAAATATCTTCGACAAAAGAAGCCAATTTGCGTCGTTCTTCTCAACTTGGCCGTTGCAGACTCTAYCGTCTTGCTGTTCTTGGCTCCAAGGCATGTTTTCTTTGCTTTGATTGATCCCTATCCAGACGGTACRMTGGGAGACTATCTATGCAAGTTTATAACTGGTGGAAATATAGCGTGGATTGGCGCCATTACGTCRATATGCTCCTTGCTGCTAATCGCTGCTGAGCGCTTCTACGCAGTTTGTCTACCGCACAAGTATTCCAAGAGATTTACGCGCGTTTTTGTGCGTCGACTTTTAGCTGTTGCGTGGTTATTTGGGTTTTTGTTCAACCTTCCACTCTTCATAGTCACTCGATATAACCAAAAGATTAGGTTTTGCGTTGAAGACTGGGGCTCAACGACGCTTTCTCAAGTCAGCGCTGTATTATGGGTATTAACAGCAGGAATTATTCCTCTTTGTCTGATGATATACTTTTATTCCAACGTTATTTTTACTTTGTGGATCAAGAAAAGCGAAGTTGGTCACGGACAGTTAGTCATCCGTCAAGTCCGTCAAAAAACTCGACGACGCGTCAGCAAAGCATTGTTGGTAATCAGTTGTCTGTACTGCGCGAGTTGGTTTCCACCKCTGACCAACTATATTCTTGTCAACTTTGTACCGAAGAGGAGTTTCAGTAATACAGCATATCTTGCTTCCGTTGTCATGGTAGCGTTCAACTCCTCAGTGAACCCTTTAATTTATGCGTTTTACAGCGGATTGTTCAGACAGCATTTRAAAAATCTGATTTTCCATAAGTTAGTGCCCAAGCGAGTCACGGCCATTGAACTGCCCAATCCTCTCTCGGCCACGAATAACTTCTCGGCAAATTTGTCCGCAATGAAAGGAAAAGAACTTCAGTTTTCTAATGTTTTGGAACAAAGTCAGAATACCAGAGCGAGAGGACACGATGATGGCGCATTRCAACCCACTGCAGAGCTCTTTGCAGCTAAAGTTTCTTCCTTTAATAAGTTATAGTGCTATCAAGAACATTCCTTGGTCTCCCTGTGGTACTAAAAACGTGACATCATCGACGATAAGACCGAAAAGAAACATGGGAATTTTAATTATTTCATCAGTTCCCGGACACTCTGCCTATTTATATAATCACGATCTTGTTTCCATTGAAAATGTCAATAATGTTCGCATTGTAAGAATTATCTAAAAAAAATTCGAGTTCCCAGAATCCCCTACGGTCCTAACGTATACCACAGGGAGACCAATGATCCCTTAGTCTTGTCAGTAGGAGACGGAATTTTCTCTATTTCTCGATCGCTGATCTATAAGAGTTGTAACGAAAGACAATCAGGGACATAAGACTGGGAGAAGGATCAAAAGACGGAATCAGAAATCTCAGGGGATCAGGAAGAGACATGTGAATTCGGATTATAATATGTCGCGGGATCAAAGATCAAATACGGGATCAAAATAAACGGTTATTCCAGCCGATTTTTTAGGATTTTATACACTGGCCATAAGAATTTACCCCTGAATTGATAGTACTATGTACACATCGTTTAACATACCCCAGTAACTTTCAGTTCAGTATTTCAGGTATTTTAATGCCTTTAAACTGCAAAACATGGTAAAACATTTGTGTCAAAAAAATCAGGGATCATTATTACGATCACACGTCTTACAATGACCAAATGTACGGTGGAAACTCTAACGGCCGCTTCATACGGTCACCCCTTTATAACGGCCATTTGTAATCAAGATTAGCTGCCCCTGGTTAATAAAAACACCCATCGTCGGATTCTGATCGAGGTCCCACTGTAATGCGGGTCCATAGCTTCCCAACATTCCCAATACCTGATCATGAAACCGATGAAATGACCGCTTGAGTCTCTTACTCTAGGCTTTATTTCACATCGTGTTTCAGAGAACAGAAACGCGCGTCGATCCGGACGGGAACCGTCCCATTCTGCCACAAGTGTGGGGCCCAAGCAATGACTTTGAACCTATAATAGTTAAAAATGAAATTTTTAACAAATTTTAAAAAAATATTGTAGTATAAAAACGAGCGACAATAAATTGCAATATATATATATAAACAGAGTTTTTATAGCTTCAAGTTGGTGTTTTGTTCTATTTCATTCTACTTATATATATATATATATATATATAAATAGAATAAATGAAGAAAAAGCCACGCAACTTGTAACTTGGTTTTCTACTTTTTATATAAATTGAATAAATTGAAGAAAAAGGCACAAAACTTGCAACTAGTATTCCTACTCTTTATTAGAACGTTTCGGCACTTCGGCCTTCTTCAGCAAACTGAGTGTTTTGCACGCGCCATTGCTACAAAATCAAACGCGACTAACGGAAAACAACAGCCAAAAAACACGCGCACTAAAAGCTAGACTACAAAACCAAAGAAAGCAGTAGCTAATACAAAGCACTCAGCTAGCCAAACCAGAAATTACATCAAACAAACCCAAGCCAGATGAACAACGCCAAAGCTGTAGGAAATTACTAAATCTAATACGAATAAATAATTGATACAAATAAAGGAAGGACATGAAAGCTACTGCCCCTGCAAGCAAAACTCCATCCACCTAACAATTATATTATATCAGCTGAAAGTACCACAGAAACAGAAAAAAATAAATAAATAAATAATATATAGGGAGGGGAATTTTTTTTAAAGCATTTATAATGCATTGTGACACTGATTAAAATAAAATTAGACTATTTTTTTAAGTAAAATTTTATTTTTAACTATTATAGGTTCAAAGTCATTGCTTGGGCTCCCTGTGATTCTGCAAGGTCAAGAAAGAGTGAGATATACTTGTGACGAGTGACGTAACCAGTCACACCCAGTCTCCATCGCATCGTCACATGACGTCTGGCGCAGATATTGATGAATTCGAGCTTAACGAGGAGTGAAATATTGCTCGAAATTCCTAGCTTTTCAAGCGTTTAAACTTCATGTTTAAGACATAATATAAGAAATCTTGGATTTGAAGCCATAGTCATTCGTTTGTTGCGTAAGATCAGGAGGTTTTTGACGTCTGGAAGTTGGAAGACGCTTTGTTCAGTAAAGCAAATAGAGGCAGTTTTTCAGTCTCGCTTTAGATTACAAGGAGCCTTATCTCGGTTTTCTTTGAACTTCTAACAGGTAAAATACCTTTAGATACGATTTGAAAGTCTTCTAGATGTTTTTAAAAGTTATAAGGTGTGAAAAAAGTGCTATATTTAGTGAAAATATTTTAATTAGTATGGAATGACAAAAATTTGCACACGCACTAGAGTACAAACATTAAATGTGTGCAACACTTTCCACTATTTATTACAAAATAGTGTTAATTAAACAATAGAAAACAATACAATTAGTATAATTTAGCAGTATTTAGTGGTATCTATGCTGCACAGTTTTAGTGTTTGTACTCTACAGTGGATTCGGTAATATTATGCATACTAATTTCAGGGCCTATTTTACTTGTTTTATTTTTGACAGAACTCAATTAAATGAGACCCTTACATGGTTTTTTAAAAACTCCAAAAAATGCTGAAGAATGGATAAAGAAGAAAGGTACTAAGAATAAACTGTTCTCGAATGTTATAGGTGGAGAATTCAGTATTCTACGAACAGAGCTACTTTTCTCACCCACTTCTAGGCTGGTGAGAAAAGTAGCTCCGTTCACAGAATAAGAATTGAGAGAAGAGGATCTCTTTCAGAACTGTTTACAGAATGACTTGTTCTTTAATACTTGTTAGTCGGACTAGCCGAAGGCGAGGTCCGACTTTAAAATTACCTTTTAGCCAATCTATCTGTATGTCATGTCATGTTTGGACCACCGGAAGTTAAGAATTTAATAATTAACTATTGGGTTGGCTGTGTTATTACATGACCGGAAGCTCAAACGTATTGATATACGAATATCGTTAGTAAATATTATATGCTACTTGCGCTTTTATATGACAAAAAAACTATTCGTTTACAAATGTGGTATCTGTGATCTCATCGGAATGCATCAGTCTAGGAATCATAAGTACGCGCATGTGCAGATCGCTTGGTGCTTCGAGTAGTATGCTTACGAAACTAAATCAATGGCCTTTCTAGCGTTAGGCAGTCCTGTGTGGGCAAAGATTTCAAATTAGAACAAGAAGAAACATTTTTTTATCAATAACAAAAAGGCGAGTTTATGATTTTATGGTATCATTTACTTTTGGGCCTGAGAGGTCAACATTCACTAGCTTAGCATCACATAATCTACATACCAACATTTGATTTTATCAGTGAAAGCAAGGACTACTTTAAACGTTCATTGCTGGTATTAATTACATGACCTTTTTTTAGGTCAAGTTTATTTTAGTCTCAAGAGAGTTTGGATATTTGAACTAGACGCTCTTATTAGACCATGAGTTCGGCTATTTTGGAGAAAAATTAAGAAATATATATTTTAATCTAATTTTTATCTTTTATGTAATATCCTGCTGTCTTTCTCAAGTTTCATTTACATTCTTAATATCATATGATTAGACAAAATATAACATCATAATCTTTTCACTCGTGTCTATCAATTTTCAAAAATAGCTAGTCCGACTTCACGCCCCAGGGGCGTCTAGTTT